TCCTTGGTACACTTGTATCCCCAGTGTTACCTTCTTCTACAGTAATGAATTAGAATGTTGAGCATTGTTCAAGTTCGGTTAAAGCAATGAGGATCGTGGGATCTCCAAACAGTGAGTTAATAAGTAGACTTCGTAACAGGCTATAATAGTTTATATCCAATCCATATTTGAATTTGAATGTAATAAAAATCAAAGAAAGAAAAGGGTTGTTACTTTTCGAAGCAAGATATGAAAAAAATAAAATACAGCTAAGATAAATAAAAAGACAGGAACGAGTAGAGGAAAAAACAACCAAAGAAAGAAAATGCTTTTGCTTTCTAAAGAGAGATACGAAGCGTTGAAAATAAATATAGCAAAAGGAATATGAGGGGAATGAGAGAGAACCCCAAGTATTGAGTACGTAACCGATCTTATAGAACGTATAGTCTTTCATTCCTACTGATTGATCTTAAATATTTTTTGCCAAACACCTCCAATGACTTCAGTTACTATTCCGAACCGAACTAAGCATATCAACATACTCTAAGTTTGTCAAAGTTAATATTTGATGATCGAGAGCTTCCCTAATCCATTCTTTTCTTGATGCAATGAAAGAAATAATAATATAACTGCTCAGCCAGAACTGGAAACCACAAGTTCTAAACTATTATAGAACTATCACATATGTCATTTAACACACACCTTCAAAACTGTTCAGTTAGACAACAATATAAAAGTACTAGCAAGTCATGTATAACTGCATGATTAGAGAAAACACTAAAAATAACAAAGGGTGTATACATATATAACCAAAACCAACCACGATGGAAAGGCAACATACCTTCAGAAGTGCAACATGAAGCTGAGAAAGAGATTCATCCGGCTCAATAAGAGCCATCTCAATTTCTTCAGCTGAAATTTTCACTTTCATCCCAAGAACTGGCTCAAAAACCTAACAAACAGAGAGAATTGATTTCATCTTCATATATTTATGGCCAAATTACTGCTCGCTAAGCAAGATACATAAACAATACATCAGAGAAACAGAACAAGACTGTGTATTCATTCCCACGAATATGAAATGTGTACCCAGACCCCAGTCACGGATAGAGATACAGAGAACCATGTGTGCGAATTGTTTTTTCCAACGATGTTCAAGTAAGCGTGTATCGGTAACATGGAACGAAAGGCTCAACGAAAACTGAAGTTGCGGTGAAGAAAGATTCAACTTTTTTATGAAATATGAACTTACGTTGAGAAAGTTGAGAATGGAAGCTAACTCCCAGCGTTGGCGGAGTTGGAGCCGTGCGATTTGAGAATCCATTGGCGCCGATTCTAAAACAGCCTCGGGTTTGACATCAGTTCCATTTCCGCAAGCTACCATCGACCGCCCGCCTACGTCAAGCATTGTTCGTTCGAGGAAGAGAAGGCGATTTCGAAACAAAATGGGAAGAAATCGATGTGAGGGAATCGAAAGAATGAAACTTTTTGGATTTTTTTTGGTTCGAGGTCAATAAAGAGGTTTGTGCCTTTCCCGCCTAAAAACCGATGTAATGCGTACTCCGTAATTCTTCAGATCGGGTTCATATGCCGTAGGGTTACACGCATTTGGTTCTACTTTACGTTTGATGAAACAGAAATAAGGTTTTAGAAATTCTGTGACCCATTTTAAATTTTAATTATCTCGGATTTTAGTAAATATATTTAAAATGTTTTTTTATCATATTATCCGATTATACAGTTTATACTTTGTGACTTTTCAGTCATACATGATATGATCAATATCCTATGTTTAATGGGACAAAAGACATATAGTAAGATGAAACCTTAAACTTTTACACAATTACAAGTTATACCTATCATATGGAAGATAAGCTAAAAGATGCACCAATTCAAATACAATTTTTTTATCCTATTTTTTATATTTATCTACAATTGTACTACGTAATATTTATTCCTTAATACTACGTATCATATATGAGTTCTAGAACTAGATATTGTGATTCATATTAGAGAGAGAAAGTACCAAAATGTGTATAGTTGTAATATCTAGGAATAGATGTCGTGCAAATTTTTGTTTAAAAATATTCTTAATTAAAAGTTCCATACATTTTCCTTTTTGAGATGTATTTAAAAATTTTCCACACTTCCATTTTTGGTAAGTTTATCCTTTATAAAATATTCAACTACCCTTACTTTATCTACTTTTTATACTTCCATTTTTGGTAAGTTTATCTCTTTCATATTTTTACAACAATATTCACTACCCTAACTATTCTATCCTAAAATATTGTGCCAAAAGCAAATGTAGGGAACATATTAATACAGAGGGAGTATTAATTAAGTGGCACCTTAAGTTCTTTAATGAATACATTAGTTATTTATTTTAAAAAAGGATTATTTAGAAGACGATTGTTTGGAGTTTTTTTCAAAATACCTTTAAAAAGATGCTCGGTACCTTATTATTAAAATACCCCTTTATCTTATTCAAATAATAGAATTAATTGAAATCACTTAAAAAAGACCTACCCTCTACCCTATATATATACAATAATCTTATACCAATCGACGATGCTGGCAATGAAGTTGTAAACGAATCTGGCGACTAAGCACTTGATAATGAAGCTGCAACAACCAACAGAAGAAAGAAGAGAGAAGTTAGTGATGAAGATGGCGACCAAAAGCGATAGCAAAATGGCCAACAATTATAACAATGACGCTTCGTGGAGCCGTGAAGGGTGACAAAAAGGACAAATCAATAGAGCTGACCATTTCTCATGCTTAAATGACTTGTTCGACCAAGTTCACTCTAATTTGACCATGTTTGACCAAGTTTGATCATGTTTGAACAAGTTCAACTAGGTTTGAAACATTATGAGGGTTGATTTATTCGACCTCTTCAATCAGGTTTGACCTCATTTGATCAAGTTCAGCCAGGTATGACCTATTCGATATGAGAGTCGACTAGACAGGTTGATCCATTCAACCGTGTGAATGGAATGAAAAAAAATCAAGGGTACTCTGAAACAAAGGATTTGTATTTAAGAATCTCGTTTGTCATGATGAATGACCCATTAATCATCAATGTAACAACAATAATAAAAGATTCAGTTGATTGATTATATATTACATTACCATGCAATAAAATATTCATTGGAGTTGATTGATTTATCACAATTATAGTTTTATATTTTAAGAATCTTGTTTGTCGTTATGAATCGACCATTGATCATTTGTATTACATTACTTTCCAACTTTGCGCGAAAACTTATTTACACTCCATACTAATGGAGACTTTTCATGCTTGAACATTTACTTTGCACAATTGCACCGCTAGACCTAAAACATAACAAAAGAAAAAGAGAAGGAAATGATAAAAAGGAAAAGAACGAAGCAACGGCATTACTCTTAACTCATTAACACTACTCATTTTATATTGTCAAGCAATTTATGGTAATGCGTAGTACATCATAGTTGAAGTCTGGAATAATGGAAAATCACTATTTTACAAGTTGGAATAAAAAAATATCACCTCATCAAGTTAGTTCACAGATTGGAAGTCACACGAATCAAAGTAAAAAACGAATAACTTTCATTAGGAGTCAGTACATTAACTTTTAATGACTTTTTTTGTTTACATCCAGGAGGGGACCAAGTTATTCGATTTAAAACATCCACAATTTACCAAGAATCCAACATCAATATATATAGATATATGTATGTATAAATAATCGAAAATAAAATTCATTTTGTATTAATTAAAAACCTATTATGAGTTAGTTACCTCAGCATAATAACTGAATATATTCATGTAGATGCTTCTTGTAGAATTAAAATAAACCTACTCATAGTATATTAAAAGCTGAAGAACTGTCTAAGCTAGCTTCTTGATTGGAATTCTTGATGAAGAAGATGAATAGAGAGAAGATGGTTACCTTTTTGATGAGTGAGGAAGGTGAAACTGTCCAGCATCAATATGATTATAGAAGGATTGGCGAATATAGACACGCTCATAGACATACATTAATCTGTCATGAATTCTGACGGTTTGAGATAATTCATTTGATAAGTGTTTAAGTTGTTCAAGGAGATAATTAACATAAACACATTCACATACATTAATGTGTGTGGTATTGTGAAGAAATTTGCAGAGTGCGGATATGCATGTGCGAAAATTAACCCATGTCAAAGATTATAATATGTGTACAAAGTCTACACTACACATAAGTTCAAGCACAAGTTTCAAGCACTTTAGATTTCGTTAATATCACCACCACACTATAACATTACCAAAGGTAAGATAACTATTACAAACTCATCATAGTTAAAAAAAAGTATTGATATTTCACGTTGAGAGGACATACGTAGTAATAAAATACTGTCTACAAAAATTGTTTGAAAATAGCAAAATCCCTCCTACGATCCATACAGGGTCATCGTATACAAATAACTTTGGTGCGGATGATAGACAAAATAGCTTACACAACCATTTGTGTTGAAAAAAATTTCCAAAAATGTGTATTTGTTGTTATTTGGTGCCTCAGAATCTCACTATCTCAGATGGCGAGACCGTTTCTTCTTTTGGATGGATAAGTAAAAAAATCGTGTCATATTTATAGAGTTTTTGACCCTTTTAATTCCTCCGACTATTATGTCATTGACACTTTTGATTTTTTTCATTTCTAGTCCTCAACCTTTGTGTTAGAGACACTTTTGGTACCCCTTTATGAAAATTTTCATATTTAGTCCTTCAACTTTTATAAAAGTGACACTTTTGATCCATCAACTATTATAATAGTGACCCTTTTAGTCCTCTACTTATTGTGTCAAATCATAATGAGAGAATTAAAATGTCAATTTGATAATACTCAAGAACTAAATGTGTGAAACTTTGAAATCGGAGACTGAAAGTGTCTTTAACATAATAGTTGAGGGCTAAAATGGAAAAATGTCATGACATAATAGTGGAGCTACAAAAGAGGCAAAAACTCCATATTTATACATGTATATTTAAATTTCACCATTCTCCGGCGGCTGCACTCCTCTTTCCGCCCGCTCTCCTGGCGGCGTAAACCCTTTCTGCGGAAATTAAAGGCACAAATGCACAATGTCGGGCTGGACTCCCAGATGTCGCTTCTCCGCCCATTTTCTCGCCCTCCGAACTCCCATCACCACCGCCAGCAGCTGTAAACTCATCTCCACCGAGTCATTGCTCTTAAACCATGGAAAGACCCTGATGAGGTGGCCTTTAAAACCCCAGCATCGATCACAATCACCCAGCTTAAGCCCCCCTTCCCACCCAAACACTAAGTTTCAACCCCAAAACCCAAATGATTTCACCAAAGTCTGTAACCTCCTGAGAGATCCTACCGTTTTGCCCGGCCCGGACCTACAACAGGCATTGGACAGTGCTGGAATTGTGCTTGACGAGGCTCTTTTTCTTGATCTCTTCAACCACTTCGATTCTTCTCATAAAACCCTATTGCCCCTCTTTCTTTGGGCGGAGAAGCAGCCCTGGTGCAATTTTTCCGTAGCTGTGCTCAATGCGATGGTTAATGCTCTTGGAAAAGGAAGGGACTTTGAAAGTGCTTGGTCTTTGATACGTGAACGGATTAGTTCGTCGGATGCAAAGCCCAATTTAGACACATTCACAATTATGATCAGACGATATGCTCGTGCAGGTTGCTAATTGTCTTACCTCAATTTTATTGTCAGATGAAATTTCCATTGTTTACCATGCTTTTTTCTCTCTATTGCTGCTCATGACTCAAGAAGGTTGGTGATTTTGTATTGATGGTGAAATTGTGGAACACTGGGTTCCAGTCTTACATTAGATTAATCTTAGATTACCTGAATACTGAAGTACATGAAGCATACTGTGGACTGGCTTCATGGCTGATGAGGTGGCTTCATCGATCACAACCAGAAACATCACACACAAACAGACATATCACACACAGATATATCTCACACAAACTGAAAGATGAATAGAAAGTATACGTTAGGGACTTAGAGTTTAAATGAATAAAAAGACTTGCTAGAGTTTGAATGAAAAAAGACTTGTTAGAATTTCGTGTGGCCACATGTTTGATTAATGGACTTCTATATAAAACGTACTCTGGGCCTTTTGTTAAATGAAATACCTTGGGCCTTTTTTAAGTTACTGCACATTAAAAACAAAGAAACAAAGGAAGAACGCCTGAAAAATGCCTTAGGGCGTGCCTGAAGGCGTACGCCTCAACTTTTGAGGCGTGAGCCTCTTAACCTGTGAAAAAACCTAAGCCCTGATACCCAATCTGTATGCCTCACCTTGAGGCGCGCCTCAAAACCCGCCTCTTAAGCGCCTTTTTATACCATGGTCAAAAGCTCTTTGTAACAATTTGGAGTGACTTTATCTTGACAAAGTTATGATATCTGACTTTTCCTTTTAACCCTAAAGAATTATCTTGAAGAAGGTGATAGTTAAGTGCAATCTGATGCTTTATGCCTAAGGGGTGAGGTTGCATTTCGGATACTAATAATCAAAACCCAAAGCATGTGTCTTTTGATTTTGATTTAGTGAAAGAGCAGCTCACATCTCTTAAGAGCACGTGCCAACTTGCCAAGAATGTAGGGGCTTCTTCTTCCTCCTCCTCTCTATGATTGGTATCTATTGGCTTGATTGCAGACGTGCCCCAGAGTTGGTTGTCGGAGTCCTCATCTTTTACTTCCTCCGGTCCCAAAAGAACTTCATTGTTTGACTTTACGGTTTTTAAGAAAGTGGAATTTTTTGTTTTGACTTTCTCATTTTGCCCCCCAAAAAGTAGATAAAGTGTAGTGGGAGAGAGAAAGTGGGTGTAAAGTAGGTAATAAAGTAAGGGTATAAGGGTAACTTTATATTAAAAAGTTGCTAAAAATAGAAGTGTGAAGTTTATTTTGGACCTACCCAAAAAGGAAAGTTTGAAGTTCATTTGGGATCGGAGGGAGTATATGTGTTCCAATTTCCCGGAAGTAAAATTATATTGATCTTGTAATTTTTCATTTTTTAACCCATGTCGTAGGACTCATATCGTGATATAATATGATAAGATGTACGGGATTCTGGAATTAAATCTTCTGATCCACAATACCTATGCCGACTTGATGACCTCGCTGCTGATAACTCCCATTTCATCCCTCGCTGCTGATCCACTGTATAATGATTTGACTTTGCAGCGCTTTTCTGTTGTGATGCATGATATCAGATATTGTTACCTATAAGCACTTTGTCAGTGTGCATTTAGGCCCCCTTTAATTTTTCTCTAAGAAGGTGTTGGCTTTTCAGGTATGAGCATGGGAGCCATTAGAACGTTCGAGTTTTCATCAACTCTTGAATTTATTCGTTCATTGGATCCAGAGAAGAAATTATTTGAGATTCTATTAGATTCTTTATGTAAAGAAGGGCAACCCAAGGTAGCTTCTCAATATTTCAACAGGAAAAAGGGCCTAGACCCTAGTTGGGTTCCATCTACGAGAATTTATAACATTCTGCTGAATGGATGGTTTCGGTCAAGAAATCTTAAAAAGGCTGAAAAGCTATGGATGGAGATGAGAAAGGAAAATATCATTCCTAATATTGTAACTTATGGTACTCTCATTGAAGGATATTGCCGCATGCGCAGAGTAGAGGTCGCAATAGAGCTGATGGGTGAAATGAGGAATGAAGGAATTCAGCCCAGTGCTATTGTCTTCAATCCAATAATTGATGCATTGGGAGAAGCTGGGCAGTTCAAGGAGGCCTTGGGGATGATGGAACGTTTAATAGTAACAGAATCTGGCCCCACAATTTCTACGTACAATTCACTAGTGAAGGGTTTCTGCAAGGCCGGGGATCTCTCAGAGGCTATTAAGATTCTTAAGATGATGATAAATAGGGGTTTTATGCCAAGTCCCACCACTTACAATTATTTCTTTAGGCACTTCTCGAAGTATGGGAAGATTGAAGAAGGCTTAAACCTTTATACGAAGCTGAATGAATCTGGATATGAGCCTGATCGGCTTACTTACCATCTATTGGTTAAGATGTTATGTGAACAAGAAAAGCTGGACCTGGCAATGCAAATAATCAGTGAAATGAGGACTAGAGGATGTGACATGGACCTGGCTACAAGTACTATGCTGATTCATTTGCTCTGCAAGATGCAGCGATTTGATGAGGCTATTCAATGGTTCGAAGACATGGTCCGGAGAGGGCTTGTACCTCAATACCTCACTTATCAGAAAATGGTTGATGCTCTAAAGAAACAGGGAATGGACTCAAAGGTAAATAAACTTTGTGATATGATGGCGGCGTTATCGCATTCAAAAAAGTTGCCTAACACATACACTATAGTTGTTGGAGATTCTTCACCTGTAAGAAGAAAATCAATAATTGAGAAAGCCGAAGAAATGTCTGACATCTTAAAGACATGTGCAAGCCGAAGTAAGCTTGCAAAACGTAGAAACCGGCTTCAGAATGTCATGCCAATTTGCAAACCCGCTGATTGATAGAAAACATCGAGTCTCTTAAGTCTAACCAGCCCGGTTCAACCTCTTCCAATGACACCCTGCGCTCCCTCTGAGAGTGATTATACATGTGCTGACATGTTGGTGGGGCTAGGCGGCTAGCATTGAGGAATCGGTTTGGCCCCAAGTGTGGGTCATGAGCTCCATCTGTGTAGTGCAGGGTGTAACTTTGCATTATAAAAAAGGGAAACTCGAGTCCTTCACCACAGAGTTAACCGAGCATTGAATCTTGTTAGTATATCCTTCTGCTCATGCTGTTAAAAAGGGGATGTGAGCCTGTATCATTGTGTTTCTTTGATGACCCAACAGATTGATCGCTCGCATTTGGGAAGAAGCAAAGCACATCAAATCACTCCTTGACCATGCTGAACATGCTTCCAGCTCTACAATATTTATAATCTAAGTTGATTATGCTTCTACTAAATAATCTAAATGAACACTAATGTTGATTTTATAGAACAACCATTTATGTGGTATGCATCTCTCTATTACCTAAATCTGAGTATATTCCATAAGCAAGATTAACAAAAATTGGCCCCGAAGGCATAAAGATGGCCTTTTCTAAGCATAAAAAAGTATGTACCAAAAGATGTTAATGGCAATGTTGGCTGTGGATTGCCAATATATAGATTAGCATGTGGATCAATGACATTGACTATAGATTGTGGGGGTTAGGTTCTGTAAAACCTTAATTCTAATCATTTTTTTCTTTAGTTTAGACTTTAGAATAGTTTTTTTTTTTTTGGTAAAGACTAGAATAGTTAGTACATTGAACTTCATAACTTAGCTTTATTTGTTCTCCAAAAAAAATCTTAGCTTTAATTTCAAAATTTGATGAGCCATGGCGTTGATTAAAATGATGACCAGGTTGCTCCAGAATCCAGTTGATGAAAATATGGTGGAAAATAACCATAAGATGATGAAAGACCGTTTTGACCCAAACAAGGATTAAATTGACACTATCAACATGCTTTTCTTTTATAAATGTATTTGATTAAATGATGAATCTTCTTTAAATATTTGTGATTTATGTTTTATAAAGGCTTTATTCTTTATCTATGATACATAACTAATACGAAGTACAAGAGTAAGACTAATATTGCTAGAATTTTCTTATCAATGGAAAGTCGAATAATCCTGAGTGATCAGTCTTAATAGTAGCCCTCAAGTATCGGTTTAACCACTTAGAGTTGGAGGAAGCTGTATGAATTTGTTATTTTGCACTATTCAACATAGAGAAGCAACATTAGCCTTAGGGTTGTGGCGTGGACTTGACTTATCCAATCTTCCACCTATATCAGGACTAGACAAAGCAACCAAGCAATGTGTTTATGCTATATTCCTAATTTAAATACTACTATACTTTGAGTCATGCCGACATACAATATATGAACAGACATGTAAAATGCCCAACTCTAAGTAATATCTATCATGTGTTGCATAATATAAACAGATAACCCTCGATGTCCGAAACCAAGGCGGTTTGCTGCCACCGACTCGACCATGGACCCCCACCCCCTACAAAATAACACATGAAAATTTCCAAATAGAGTTAACGTAGGTGATCTGTGTTTTAACGCCATGTCCACATACAAACACTGCATTCATGTATCTATGTGCTATAATATTACACAACCAGCTTAAAACACAGAGCTGGCATGCAAATTGGCAGTTGCTTCTGTAAGTGAACCCAAAAGAGTCTCCCCAACCTCAGCTTTGCAAAGTGGGCATGTGTTGTTGATCTTTAGCCATTTATCTACACAATCCTTGTGAAAGAAATGAGAACATGGCAACTCTCTAAGCTCTTCGTTGTTTACATACTTGGCTATGCAAATGCAGCAGACCTATATATAATTGAAAAACAGATCACTTGAAAGGCATATCTACAAGCAGAGTTAATAGTTTCCATGTATATCGGCATTTATATCTCACGTTTGTACAGTCAGAATGTCATTTTATCATGATCTGCAGAAGAACTTGCATGAAGATATTTGAGAAAATATTGCGCTGTTATGCAGAGTTAGCTCTAACCAAACAAATCCAAAAATTTTCAATCAGGAGAAACTGTAGCACACTGACAAGAGAGTAGAGCCAACACCCTGTCATACAGTTTATACAGAAAACCATCTCATAATTTTAGAACGCAAAATGCAAAAAGACCTTCAGGACAAAGACAACGGTCGAGTCTAAAGAAAACTGAGTACACAAGCAAAGTGTGTACATACTGAATCATAGAGTTTTGGCCACCCTAAAAGAAATCTATATTTACACCCTCGAAAGTTTACAATTTCAAGCTAAAGATAATCGGGAAGAGAAAAACACTCTACAGGATTTTCCACCCACCACCAATGAGAAAATACATAACCTTTTTGTGTAGGTAATAGCTGTGTTGTTTCGGATAACTACCATAAAAGAGGAATCCCAGCAAAACATAAAATTGAATATTGGACAGAGACATTCCTATGTGACACATATTTGTTGGATGATAAACATATCTCACTTTTCATCACCAAATGACCATATGCCACATGTTTAGCTCATATAGTTATTGCCTGAAATTTGCAATGTGTAAATATTTTCTACTATCTATTTTATCATATATAAATATCATACATTCAATTTACCTTCAATACCGTCATATACGCGTATTCATGCATTGCTATGATTAGTTAAGCATCACTTAGACACTCGGCTTTCATTAGGTGCCTATGATTTCCCCCCGCTTAGTCCCTCACTGATTCAATTAAATCCCTTCTTACCCTGAGACCCTGACTAATCCTCAGTTAGGCATTAGGGCCCCATCTGAAACAAATTAGCGCTTAACGCAAATTTTCAGACGCAACGACACAATTTTCGCTATGACCCTTTGTGTTTTAGAATATTAAAAACACGTATGGTCAGGATTTGTTAGTGTTATACTATTCTACATAAATGGTGGTTAACTAACTACGAATCAACTGAAAGTCTGAAATATTAATGACTGAATATTTTGGAATGCCTTAACGTACCATCAATAAAAAAATAGGGTCGATCCAAACAAGTACACAATATGTATGCTAGAGAAATTAATATCATCAATGGCATAAAAGCAATAGCATAAATTCCAAGCTCTTAGAATGTGAAGTAGTTATATCACTACCCAAAAAATATATCCAGAACTCCTAAGAGCAGATACAAATAATCCCACCCTAAAAGTTAGATGACTACATGAGTTCACTATTCTTCCCAAATGCCAAATGTTCGGAAAAAGGGGGGAAGGTCGAAAGGATGCAACCACAATTGTTCCATACCTTAGAAATAATTTTGCATACTAGTAGTACTTGCCAATGTCAAGCGTTGTCATTTCAAATTTTGAATGCATAACAAATCCTACCTACCAACCCCCAGTCACAGAGAGGAAGAAAAAGGAAAATGAAGGTCTCAATCCAAGGTATGAAGGTACATAAGTCAATTGTCAACAAGTGCCTTAAATGGTAACATAGAACTCCTATAAGATGATTTCATAGGCATTAGAAACTGAGCACTAGTGCATTACCAACCTAGTGGCAAGTAAAACTGTAAAAGAGAAGAGAATGAAGAAGAAAGAAATACACAATTACTGTTTCCTTCTCTTTTATTTTCAAGGGAGGACATTGAGACTGGGTGTATTTGTGGCTGTTATAGTTTCTTAGCTTTTTTAATCCAAAAATTTCAATATAAGACCAGATAGTGCAGGACATAAATTTTACCGCATCCTCTCCAGATATCAGACGCTCTTTTACTGTTCCTGCCGCTATTATCCCGCCTTCAATTGCAGCTCCTGCGTTATCTTTGCTTTTGTTCTTCTTTACCTTAAATTTATAAGTAGGGAGAGAATTGATGGATTCTGGCGTCGCTCCTCTGTTTTGTGATAAATCTTCTCTAAACCCCAAGATAGAAATTATACAAGGGAGGCAGCAACAGATTGTTGCACAGAGAATAAACGGCATTGCATACCCAATGCAACTAAAGGTTAGAAACACTATGCACAACCTGCAGATTAGTGGTTGTATATATCATGTTAGCTCAGTTGGTTGAAATAAATCACCTCTTTTTAAAAAGTAAATCCCAAGAATTAAGTACCTGTACATGTTCGGAGCCTCAGAATAGGAAGAATGCCCTCCAAATATCCATACATTACCCACCACAAACCACACGGCAAAAAAGCAATCTAGAGCTATTTTTAAGTATTCAACAAGTGCCTTAAGCCTGCAAGAAAAGATACAGCATTTCCGAGTCACAGATAAATACATTTGTGCAACAGCAAACACATCAGATTGATTGCAGGCCCCTGAACAGCCAATAAATGAGAACAGTAGATTGACTTTTGAGGTCTGGTAAAAGAAATTGATTGTAATGTTTACAAAATGAACACTATATGCCTTCAAAAGAAAAGGAGAATCTTCATGAGCTCATCAATCATTATACGCTACTTAATTGAAAGGAAGAAAACTACAAAACAGATTTCTATAATAACTGCCTTGTTTTGCTTATAAGAAACTTATTGACACATTATAACTAGTACCAGTAGCACAAAAATGACACTCATTATTCGTTGCCATGACAATTTGAATCTCATGAGACAGGCAGAGAAAAGATGAATAGTTGGAAAGTTGTGTAAGAGATCGACTGACTGACACATGTTAAAAAGCATTATGATCATACCTTGCATTTGGTAATGCCCCACTTGGACCCCATCCAGAGGACGTACCAGTTGTTCTTCGGCCTTCACCTTCAGAACTCCTTGAACTCGAAGGAGGTCCAGCTGAAAAGTCACCTCGGGAAGAATTCTGTTGCTGCTGAGAATCCTGTTCAGAATTCTGATTTCTATAACGATAGCGCCAATAAAGAAGAGGAAGGATAACTACACATCCAGAGGCATAACCCACAATCCAAATAAACAATGGAGTCCGTGGGTGCTCATGCTTTGATAATGACAAAACAACAATAGCTGCAACAATTTGGCTCACTAATAAAACCAATTCTACAGAAATCCAAAGCCCAGAGTTTAAAGGACTTCTATGGCGGGCACGACCATTTCCTCTTCGAACAAATGATGAGTTCCTTGTACTCGAGCCACTAGTAGAAGCAAAGGCACGCTGAAAAACAGGTATTGCCACACTAGTAGAAGGCTGATCATCATTCTGTTGATGTAAATTATTTGACGAACGATCATGTGATACAAGTGATGATGAAGCTTGACTGCTGCTTGTTATATCAATCGTGTGTTCGTTATTGCTACGATTCTCTGGTCTATCCATTAGCAAAGATGTTAATGCAAACCCAAACTTTACAGCCTACAAAAGGAAACGATTACCTAAGTCCACCAACCAATCAATCAAGCACAGAAATGTTGGATAGTAGAATGCCTGACAATTTTGACTCACTTCTTCAAGAACTGAGTCAAAGCAGGAACAAGTTTCAGGAGATAGCTACCAAAAGACCTCCCTCCCCACACACACACAAATTCGATGAAGCTGGTGGAAGCATTCATAAACGAGAACTCAACAACAATGAGTAATTATTAAAGCACAAGAGTCCAGTGGAGAACGAAGTGCAGTAGTACTTCATCCATTCCGAAACCTCTCAAGGAAAATTCATGTTTAATCCCACCACAACAAGTTAACCATCTTTTAGAATCGATTTCTCAGTA